AACATATTGCTGTCTGTTTTCTAAATAAGACTTGAATAGCTGTAGCAAATTTTGCTTTATTCCGTAGTATTGTAGTTTTTTTTTTATTAATATATTATGATCAACCATATCAAAAGCAGATCTTAAATCCAGAAATAATCCCGCTACTTTATTTTTGTTATTTAAATTTGTGATAACATCATCAATTAATGTATCTATCGCATCGTTACTTCCTATTTTTGGCTGATATCCAAATTGTCGTGTATTTATTATTTTATTATTATGTAGATGTTTAGTTAATTTTAATCAGTTTTTCAAAAATTTTTGAAATTGTTGGTAAAAGCGAGATAGGTCTGTAGTTTTTAGAATCATTTTTTGAACTTTTCTTATGTACAGGTAATACTTTTGCAATATTAAATTCCTCATGGAAAATACCCTTTTAATAACATTTATTGTCAAAACTCGCTAATGGTGATTTTAAAAAGTCTATGTTTTTTTTAATATTGAAAATGGTATGTCATCCCAACCACATGACTTCTTGTCTTCCATACTATTTACAACTTTGGATATTTCCGCAGGTGTTATGTGATCCCAACACATATCATTTATGCAAGGTTGTACATTATGCTCAAAAAACTTCATTGATAGTTCTATGGAACCTCTCGAGGGTGATATGCCATGATCAAAGTTTTCCGATATATTTGTTATTATGCTTTAAGATAAATATATTCTCGTTTACACTGGGAACTTTTTTACTGTGTTTGTTAACTACACTCCAGATCATCTTAACAGAGTTATTCGATTTCTCTATTTGCGACTGTATTGATAACCTTTTGGCACACCTAATTACCCTTCTGTATAATTTTATATAATTGTTTCTATAATCAACAATAGATTGGTCACTGATGGATCTATGTGCTGGCACAAGGAAACGCTTCATATTGCTGGCCACCTTTATCCCTTTTGTAATCCAGCTTAAACTTTGTTTAATTCCTATTCTAATAGTTTTTACCTTTTTCTTAAAACTCTTATCAAAAATTGCATACAGTTTTTTTATGAAACTATTTATTCTATCATTTTGCCATTCATGTTTCAATATATGTTCTAATATAATATATATAATATATAATAATAATAATATAAACACTCACGCCTGTCACCCAGAGGGGTAGGCAGAGATTACGGACTTCCATTTGGCACGATCCTGACATACCTCTTTCGCCTCCTTTACATCCATATATCTACGCATACATGCTCGTCGGTTAAGGGTACTTCTAACGTGGCCCATTTTCAAAATATCGCCAATTTGGTCGACAAACTTTTTCTAGGGCGTCCCTTCCCGACTCGGCCGTTCACATCTGCCATATAAATTTGCTTTGTCACTCTTTCATCATTCATTCTTTCTACGTGACCAAACCACCGAAGCATTCCTTTCTTAATCCTGGTCACAACATCATCTTGCATACCACATTTATCTCTTATCACGCAATTTCTCACCCTGTCATTCAGATTAAACCCTAGCATATTTCTTAAAGAACGCATTTCTACAGCATTTATTCTACTTTCGTGCTTCTTCTGCCACACCCAGCTTTCACTACCATACATTAACGTAGGGACTAACACAGCATTATGAATTACCATACGTGCCTGTTTTGACACATTCTGGTTCTTCATAATAGAGTGTAGTGCCCCATTCACTCTATTCCCTGCATTTACTCGTCGTTCTATATCCCTATCATATCTACCATCCCTGCTAAATACACATCCCAAATACACAAACTCATCCACTTGCTCAATTAACTCTCCTTCTATTCTTATTTCACATACCGTTTTGCTTTCTTCTCTTTCAAAAACCATCACTTTCGTCTTACTTGCGTTCACTTTCATTCCCCTATCTTTAATTCCCAGTTCATTACTGTAACCATCATTTGCAACTCAGCCGCTGATGACGCAAATATGACTTGATCATCGGCATACAAAAGGCATTTGACGGTTAACTCGCCCATTCTTAAACCACATTCTTCATCTTTCAAAGTTTGCAAACACCGGTCCATAAATAGGTTGAACAGCCAAGGGGAAGCTACACAGCCCTGTCTGACACCTTTTTGGATGCCAAACCAGTCCGAGTTGACCCCATTGATCCTGACACAATATATATTCTCTGAATAATTTATTGTTCATCTCATTAAAAACTCTTTGTTCTCTTGTAATAGTTTTATTTTTATTATTTTTAGTGATTCCCTGGATTTTTCATTCCATTCCATTACATATTAGTGCTACGTGGCCATCTGATAACCCATTTTGATCTATTATAGTATCTTTTATGCATTCATCTGGAAGATTTGTTATGAAATTATCCAAACAGGATTGAGCGTTACCCCGTGTGAATGTAACCGATAAAATAAGGGTTCTAAAATTATAACATTTTAATAAATATAAAAAATCCGACCTTTGTTTAGTGTCACTTAAGAGATTAACATTAAAATCCTTACAGATTATACATTTCTTATTAATAAAATATTCAAACAAAGTTTCAAGCCGCTCCATAAAAGCTGAGAAAAATTCATCTAGTGTATTCCTATACAGAAAAATTACGTTTAATTCGTTTTTAATATCCTTAATGCCACATACTTCAAAATACTGTGTTTTATACAGTTTTTTACACTCAACTAAATCTATATATTTACAATCGTTTAGTCCTAATATAAGACTACCTCCTCTAGTTTTTTTGACCTAGTGTTATATGAAATTATGCTATAATTAGATAAATGAAAAAGTTCAATATTTTGATTATTTAAAAAATGTTCCGTAATGCATACATATTGTGGCTTAAAAGTACTTAATGTTTCTATATATACATCCAAAGTATTAAACCTGTTTTAAAAACAAAATTTGATAAATTTTTAAATAACGTTGATAAATTATATATTTTAAACCCCCATATTGCCCTTACCATTTTAAAATATTGTCTCTTTGTACCTAAATTTACATACTTGTTACGCTCAAGTCCAGTCTGGAAATGTTCGGATATTTTAAAAGATATTGATAGTAATCTTAAAATTGCTTTAGAAAAAATTCTAAACTTGAGATTAAATACAATAGCCTGGAATCAAGCCACTTTACCTATCAAATTTGGTGGTATTGGTGTAAGAACAATTTCAAGCGTCGCATTGCCTGCTTTCCTTGCTTTCCTGCATAGTGTCAATTATCTATGTAACACAATTTTAAATAAAAAGTAGACCTGTGCTTTGCTGCGGAAGCAAGGCAAGCATGGATAACGCTCTGTCCCAGCGAAAATGTCCCACTGTAAGTTCACCAACAAAAACAGTGGGATATTCCGTTGGTACGGAGTGTCCAGAAAAAATTTATTTCAAAATTTCTACAGTCAACAAGATCAGGCTCGCCTTCTAGCGGTTTCGACTAAGGTATCTAGGCACTGATTACATGCTCTACCATCAAGTAATCTCGGCACATTGCTTGATTGGGGAAAGTTTGCGCATTGCCGTAGGAATCCGGCTAGGAGTGGCAATTTGTCATTCTCACCAGTGGTAGCAGCGTGAGTTAGAGAGTAGCAGCGAGAGTGAGTGTGAGTTTGGGCTCCATGGACATTCATGCAAGAAAAGTGCAGGTAGGTTTTCCCGTCATTGTTCTTTTAACGAAATCATCCGAAGGGCTCTTGTCTCCATAAATGTCCCCTCGGTTTTAGAGCCCTGCGGGATATTTAGAGACGATGGCAAGAGACACGACGGTATGACTTTGGTACCTTGGGAGAGAGGTAAAGACCTAGTGTGGGATGCTACTTGCGTTGACACTTTGGCGGCCTCTCATCTCAGGGGTACCTCTTCGCGCAGCATCAGAGCCGAATTCAGTAAATGGCGCAAATATGATTCTTTGAGAAATGACTACATATTCGTGCCATTTGCTGTAGAGACTATCGATCCGTGAGGTCCACGTGCAGTGAAATTGCTAAATGAACTTTATCCACGACTGGTCGTCGCTGCTGGTGATAAGAGGGCTGGTTCTTTCCTCGCTCAAAGGCTAAGTATAGATATTCAGCGAGGAAACGCAGCCAGCGTTCTTGGCACTATACCACGGGGAGCAGGTCTTTTTGACTATTTAAATTTTTAGTTTTAGATCTTCTTTATTATAGTTTCTTCTTTTATATTGTATATTATTAGTTTTAATCGTAAATATTATAATTTTAATTATTATTTTAGTTAAGTTTATTATTATAATTTTCGTAATAGCATTTTCAGCCTTTTTGGTATTTAAACCACAAACATTTTGATGATATTTAATAATATTATGTAATATGTCTTTATCACATGTTATTGTTTCTGTAAAGTCATCATTAGCTAATTTTATGAGTACATTATTGCCAACGTATACCGACGGAAGATTTCCTCCGAATTTATTTTTAAAACAAACAAAAAAAATATTTAGATATATCTTCAAAAATATTTTTAATTCCTAAATTATTGAGTTTACCAGTTGTCTGAGAAAACATGTCAAAAGTTAAGTCATAATTTGATTCAAAACAGTATTCATATTCAAATTTCTGTATGCTATTTTGTAGGCAAGAATTGAAAATTTCTACCTTATAGTTATACAAGTGTGCACCACATATATACGTCGGTAATGCTATGATTACATTAGTATGCTTTATTTTTTGTAGCGTGTTTTTAATGTTACTTATAAGATTTGTATAGTTATAGGATTTTTTGAAGTCTTCTTCTCCAATCAAAATAACACAGTAGTCATTCATAGTGTAGTCTATTAATTTGCTATGTAGTCCACTCAGTAGCTCGATTGTTCCTGAGTGTGGTTTTATAAAATGACAGTATTCGAAATTTTCAGTATCTAGATTCTCTATGGCTTCTATCACTTTATTCCTGTTGTTACTGCTTATTACGCAAAGTCTAAAATCCTTATTTTCATGTATAAGTGTAGAATTTAAATCGCTCATCTGTTCTTCTTTATCTAAAATTGTGCTTTGATGGTTTTCATGTATTACAATACAGTTAATTATTCAATACAGTTTTTTCTTTGTTTATTTGTGTTGTTTGAAAACTTTGCCCACATTCGACCTGGTTCAAAAGTGTGTAATCTAATTTTGTTTTGTTTCCCTTTTTTTGTTTCTTTTTGTTTTTATCTATCTTTGGAGTTGAGCGACATAAATTAGCCAATGTAACAGTTTTCTTTTCATATGCTATGATTTGTTTCCTTAAAGAACTGTTTTCTTTGTGTCTGTCTATTTCTTTTTCCGCACTTTCCAACTTCTTTTCTAAGTAAGTGATTTTAGCTCTTAGTTCTCCCAACTCCTCCCTGTTTTTGGGGCTTATTTCAGGGCAGCTGCGATTTAATTTACTAGTCTCTATACAAGAACAATCCTCATCGACAGAGCCCTCCAAGTCCAGAGACTCAGTATGTTTTTTTCTATTTTTGTTTGGATTGGTAATGAAATCAAAAAAAAAATGTTGAGGTGTTTGTGTATGTATGTATTTTTACCCACTTTCGGTGATATTGATGATGTCTGTTCATTAGTTTGTTGTGATGTTTTTGGTGTATGTGGATAATTTTCAGACTCTGTGCAAACTGTAACAGTGTTTGGACGAAAGTGAGAATTATTAACCAAACCTACTGTTGATGTTGATGAGCTATTCATTGTGTGCATGATGTTTACAGGTACAGTCCCTGTTGTCAATGGTGAGCTTGTATATTCTCTTAGCAAGAGTGCGCACTTTACGCATTTTCATTTGTTGCTTTTCTTCTCTTTCATTGAATTAAATATATTTTCTGTTACGTTTGCACAGTTTAAATGGTGAAACTTTAAACAGTTGAAACATTTAAGAAATTGTTTATCTGAGATTATTTTATCACACTTCACACAATTCCTTACCATTTTCATATAGTTCATTAAGAGTAAGAAAAAGTATGACTCGGTCGTTTGAACGCAGCACAGGCAGCGACGTTATTATTACACTGATAACAAATGTATTTTAATTTGGGAAGATTTAACAATATTAACTCATTAGTTACCACGAGTTATTTAAAAGTTCAAACAGTTGTTAAAGTCGTCATGTTCGTGTCTTAAATTGTACTATTAAAATCCACATAAATTGATTAAAACTACTTTTACGGATTTTATCGCGTTTATTTTACTATTATTTTTAGTTCCCGACGTTTCGGGCGCTTTCCAGCACCCATTGTCACGGGGGACTGAGATGACTGACGTCCCGATGTCATTGTTAAACCCGGAGTACCTTCAACTTTTTTAATTATTGTTTATGGTCCGATCTATGCAAAATGAACTGACTATGTCCTGAGGTCTTGTCTGTGCAATACAGGATCAGGTTATTAAGACCAACAACTATCGGAGATACATCCTAAAGGATGGCACTGTCGACGTCTGTCTGAGCTTGTCGCCATCCCGGGGAGTCACTTAGGCATGTCATCTCCAGTTGTTCGGCGCTTTCTAACTCTGAGTACTTGCACAGGCACAACCTAGTAGCCAGAATTCTACACCAGGAGGTCGCTCTGAAATACGGTCTCGTGGACCGGAAATTGCCGTATTACAAGTACTTGCCGGAAGCGGTGCTCGAAAATCACCGCGCCAGGCTCTACTGGGACCGGGCCATCATCACAGACAGGACTATTCTTGCGAATAAGCCTGATCTTGTGCTGATGGATCGGGCACAGTCAAGGATATTTTTGATCGACATTACCATTCCGTATGACGAGAACCTCGTAAAAGCCGAAACAGATAAACAAACAAAATATCTGGACCTGGCTCACGAGGTGACCGACATGTAGGGTGGTGTGTCGACCGAAATTATTCCTGTAGTCGTCTCTGCGAATGGGCTAATCCCAGTCAGCCTCTGGGTCATCTGAGGCGACTGGGACTCCGTGACGGACCGCTCCGGGCTCAAATGCAGAAGGCGGTGCTCCTCGATACCGCCCGCATCGTCCGCCGGTTTCTTTCCCTTTCCCCCTAAACCTCGGCCGTCTGGTCTCCCCTGCCGAGGGGTCCCATCTGGTTGGATTTATTTATTTATGTAGTTTTTGTATTTATTTTATTTTATTGATATTTATGTACATTTATCTTTTCATTTTAATTTATAATTATATATTTATAGAACCCAACCAGGTGAGAAAATTATATAGATACCACAATAATAATAATAATCTTTATTTAGGACCAAAATTAATCCATAGTAGTGTTATTAACTATTGACTTATAAACTAGTGTTAGTGAACATTAAAGTATGGATAATTTTTTTCAAAATCGGAGAATTATAGTCCTCCGCTACTGTTTTCAAAATGCTGTTGTGACTGTCTCTCACCCTTCTAAGCAGCGAAGCAGTTTTCTTACGTATTATCGCATGAAAGCCGTCCGTGCGAGCTTGCGCAAACATCTCCGACGCACTACAGTATCGAGGCAGTCCCAACAACATTCTGAAAGCATTATTATATTGAACACGCAGGGCATCCAGCGACCTTTTACTGTAATTCATCCATAGATTGCTCGTGTACAGACTCTGGCAGTATGCCTTAAATAGGGTAATTTTAACTAGGTCCGTACATCGAGCAAATCTACGGGCCCGCATGTTACTCCTGACCGCTAGAGCCCTGCGTTCCCTCTCAATATCTACATTGTCAAAGTAGAGTAGTTAATAATCAGAACAGGAAGACTTTATATTTAACTTCTAGCGATTAAAATATATATAAAACAAAGGTTATGGATTTAATTTGTGCGGAGCACCTGTTACTCGATTGCTAGCGAACGCGACTGATATCTGATTTAAAGTTAGTATAACCTAGTATAGTATATAAAGAAATAAAAACGATAACAGACCTATCGATAACTAAAGTATTTCCAACAAAGGCATTTCACGTTTTTCCTTAGAATAGATATTCTGTGAAATAAATAACATATAATATAAACAGCAAAGAAATGTATTGGAAGGTGTTTTAAGACTGTAAAGTACAAGGTAAGTAAATACAACATAAGTTTCATATTTTCTAAAATTTTACAAACTTGCTCAAGCCAGCTAAGAAAAACTTCAAATCGGTGTTTCTATTTATTTTATTGTGTTTAGATTTTTATCATTTGTATAACGCTTTTTTCGTATTTTATTCCTTTTTGGTTTTGAATAGGTAATAAAGCAACACGATAAAGCTCTTGCGAAGTTTAGGGAATAACCTCGGATTTTTTTAATGATTTCTGTTCATTCGTATAAAACAGCCACAGAATACGTAAGTAATTTACTTGCATAACTTTTTATGAGGAACGTATATTGTTGTGTATAGTTGATACAAAGTTAATTATACTAATCAAAAGTATATCAGTATTACGTGTTTTTAAAACAGTATTTATTGAGCAAGCACAGGCGCTGTGGTGGTGTCGTAAGCAAATTTGTCACACCATTTTGTTCCGTGGGTAGGCAACTATCGAAAATGGCTTCCAAAAATAGCGTTATAACATTTACCGGTGACAGATGACAGTATCAAAGATGGAGAAGTCTGATACTATTGATTTTAATCCACCTGCCAAGCGCGATGAATAATGCAAATCCTTTCTGTCACGGGAGAGGCACATATCTTGTAGTAGTCTATTATATACTGACGAAGAAGAAGCAATTATAAGTCAGATTGAGTATTTTTTTATAAAATAACGGATGATTAACGAAAACAAAATCTAACTAATGGTAAGTGGATATTGTGGCCCTTAGACATCTACATCTGTTCTATCCTCGGTTAAGAATCCAAATTCAGATTTGTTGTCACTCCTGAGGATTAAGATTAATTACCTCGTTTCTAGTAAAAATGCAATAAAGTAAAAAGTAAAGTAACAACAGCCTATATACGTCCCTCCTCACACAGCATAGGCAGGAGACACAGGCCTCCTCTTATTTCTGAGAGGTTATTAGGGCAAGGAAGTTTCCGCCACGCTGCCCCAATGCGTGTAGGGGAACTTATTTTATTTTTTATTTTTTAGACATGCAGTTTCCTCACGATGTTTTCCTTAACCGCCGAGCACGAGATATGTCAGCAATTAAAATGGCAATTAAAAATTTCATTGTTGCCGCCGGGGATCGAACACGGCTCTTAAAGACCTCGATTTTTTAAGCGTGGTAAAATACTTCAAGTTTTCTCGAAATATATCATTCCTTAGATATGTAGGGAGCATGTGGTCAATCAGCACTTAAATTTAAATTAAAAAACTTAGCTTGCTCGAGTGCTGAGATATTTATGGTGAGCGCTTAGCACCTAATCTATCACGGGATTATTCTGAGAGTGAACCCAAACTGAGCAAAGTGATAATAGAGTTCACTGCTTCTTATTATCACTTTCACACAAGTGCAAGTGTATCGGCCGCCAAACACCAATTCAGGCCAGCGTTGTGTATTGTCCATCATTTAGCATGCCATTTGTCACATTTCTAAAAAGTATTATTATCCAGAAATAAAGGGCTGTTAAATAAGAATTATGATTATAATTTTCAAATACAAAACCCGACTTTTTACAAATGATAGTGGGTCGGCTTGACCAGGGGGAAGGATCACGTTCTCGTCGTACTTTTTATATTGAAGGAAGGATGATAAACGATTCCTTTTAATTGTGGGTGAATTAATGAATACTGAAACGGAGGTAACGAAAAAATATCCCTCGCTTCGTTTTATTGTAAGCACGTCCCGCGGGAAGAACTTGCTTCCCCCGTACCCTCTTAGTTCTATAATGCATAAACACTCACGCCTGTCATCCAGAGGGGTAGGCAGAGACCACGGACTTCCATTTGACACGATCCTGACATACCTCTTTCGCCTCCTTTACATCCATATATCTACGCATACATGCTCGTCGGTTAAAGGTACTTTTAACGTGGCCCATTTTCAAAATATCGCCAATTTAGTCGATAAACTTTTTTCTAGGGCGTCCCTTCCCGACTCTGCCGTTCACATCTGCCATATAAATTTGCTTTGTCACTCTTTCCTCATTCATTCTTTCTACATCACCAAACCACCGAAGCATTCCTTCCTTAATCCTGGTCACAACATCATCTTGCATACCATATTTATCTCTTATCACGCAATTTCTCACCCTGTCATTCAGATTCAACCCTAGCATACTCCTTAAAGACCGCATTTCTACAGCATTTATTCTACTTTCGTGCTTCTTCTGCCACACCCAGCTTTCACTACCATACATTGTAGTAGGGACTAACACAGCATAATGAATTACCATACGTGCCTTTTTTGATAATCTTCTTAACAATAGAGTGTAGTGCTCCATTCACTCTATTCCCTGCATTTACTCGTTGTTCTATATACTTATCATATCTACCATCCCTGCTAAATACACATCCCAAATACACAAACTCATCCACTTGCTCAATTAACTCTCCTTCTATTCTTATTTCACATACCGTTTTGCTTTCCTCTTTTTTCAACGTGCTATTTTCGAGAGTCATTACGAACCGTCTCGCACGCAGACTCGACGACTTCCAGCCTCCCGAACAAGCCGGTTTCCGAAAAGGCTTTAGTACCATAGACCACATACATACCCTGCGGCAGATTATATAAGATATAAGATGTAAGATATAAGTCGGGATCATTTCCGAGACATCGTTCTCAGACTAGTTTCATCTTTAGACGTAGGCCCCGTTTTTGGTAG